TATGTGTTTTTTCAAACTAATATTATTGTGACAAATTGTGTTACACCAGCAACGTTTATTGTCGAGCTCTAATAATACATCTAAAGGTAAAACGGTGTAGACGAAAATATATTATATCAACCAAAAGTTAATCGGGCGCAACTGTATATAAATTGGATATCGAATCGTATGTGTAGCTCATTCTTAGAAGCTAAAACCAGCAAAAAAGTATAGGACAATCTAATCTAGATTCCAACTCTTTGAAATTTTACTTCAGCGGGTCTACTGGCTTTGTTTTCCGGTTTTAAAATATGCCAGAACACGGACAGGTTAAATATGGGTACCGTACGTAGCACATTTACTTAACGTCCGACTAAAAGGCGCTGCTGAAGTTCTTAAAAAGAAAAAAAAATAGCTTCTAATACAAAGAGTTGTAAAATTGAAAGCACAGACGGGTCAAAGAGCACGGGACGGGGTTTAGCAGTAGATTTAGTCAAAACAATAGAGTTCTACCGTACCTACTCGGAATGGTCCACTAGAGAATCGTCCGCAGTCGTGATCAGAAACCTTAACGCTCAGAGATTCTAAAAGCAAATAACACCCAACCTCGCATGTGTTAGTGATTTTCTTTTAATTCCAAAACCCGTGAAAACCAGCTGCTTAATCATTAATGTTACTATAATTGTTATAGGCGATGAAATATTTGGTTTAGTATAATAAAAAAACCCACCCGCTAAGCACAATCGAGTTTATTCGGTTTGGAATGGCTTTTTTTTTATTTTTACTACCCAGAAAGTTTTATAGTTGAAAAATAAAATTATGAAATTTCGCGTCACGTAGCATATTTTGCCCTACCTAATTATTGTGCCCCGTGTAAATTGGCTAAGCATATAAAATAATAAAATATTGTAGTGGTTTTATGCACTTGCTACTCCCCAACCTGGCACCGTGCAAGAGCGAGCCCGACGGTATAAAACTGCAATCATCTCAGTGCCGCATTAAACTATATTGCCGTCACTGGGCAAAATAAATTTGCCACCCTTAAGAATTGTTTTTTTTTTAAATTTAGAAGCGATTGTAAATTTATATATTTTTTTTCAACAATTGACTCCAAGTAATATGTTTATGTGGACCGAAATTATAATATACCATTTTATAAATACAAAGATGACTTTAGATAATTTGTCTAGTTCATCTACACTTTTTGGACCATTATTATTTAATTCCGTTTTGTCTATAATTGATGTAAGATAAATATTATTATTACACATTCATACGGGTTCATGTTTGATATAAAAATGGTATAATATTATATTCGCTTACATTCCCATACTTTGTAACAGTAAAAAAATTATTAATACTTTTATATGCTTTTTTGCCCCTATGTTGATTACTAAAAAATTGCCGCCCCCCAAGCACCATAAAATTTACGGCCCAGGGCAATTGTCCCCCTTTGTTTGCCGTTAAACGCGGCTCTGAATCAGAAAACAGAGGTGGCGGTTGAAACTATGTCTTTAAATTATGCAATTTATGCAACTATGTTTGACCACATCATACACATGCAAATCGTGTTCGTTTATAAATGATACCAGATGCTTTGTCGAAAAACCAATAAAAATATTATACCGTCTTGTCTTCTCTTTGAAAATATGAACTCTGAGCGTTTTGATTACATTTTACGGTCTTGACGGCAGATACGATTAGGTGAAATCAAATTTTACCTATAAAAGATTTATGATGGCGAGATACCGTAAAAATAACATGCCAAGAGCACGCCGCCGAAAAATGAGGTCGGCGACGTTAAGAAACGTATTAAATAGAACGGTATTTGCACTGTTGTGATTAAGCTGATGAAGTTGCCCCCCCCCCCCTCTACATTATCCTATCAATTCCAAATTAGTGTCAAACTTTTGTAAATTAATTGTAAATAATTGTAAAACTGGTTTCAACATTTGTAAATTATTTTTTCGGCTTTGTAACCAATATAATGTTTTGGGGGACCAAATTCTGAAAACTAATTTACAATTAATTTACAAAAGTTTGACACTAATTTGGAATTGATAGGATAATGTAGGGACCAACTTCATGTACTTAATCTTTTAAGGTTTTATAATTTAGGTATTATGATTAAAATTTAAAGACAAATAAAAGTCGTATAGAATGCACTTCATATTTATTTATATTAATAACATAATACGTTACACTAAACGTTCCTTTTGCTTAGGAATCACGTTATTTTGAAAAAAAAATTGTTTACCACTGTGTCATTTGCTTCATATTAGTCTATACACCAGAAATAAATCACTAAATATATTTTATAGCATTAAATGGAATTTAATTAACACCATATTATCCTTAAACTTGGCTTATGAGTTATTTTTTTTAAATTTTTAATGACACTAACGTGACAATTTTTAAAAAAAAAAGGCAAATCGCTAGAGTCAAAGTACTTGCTTGGGATATTCTTTAGTATAATTTATGTATACTAATCTACAGCCAAACTAGAGGAAATGCAACAACACTTTTCTCTAAAACTAAAACGGGAGACAGATTTTTCAATAACTGTCATTTGACATAGCTGTAAAATACAATTTTGAGCTGACTTAACAAATCTTTGTAATGATTTTTATTAAAATAAATTAAGAATATAAATTCAATACAGTTATATTGATAAAATATTATTTCCCATCATCTACAGATTTAGCTTTAAAACATTTTCTGTGAGCCACTTCATTCGTGATAAATATTATTGTTTTAGCTATTTTGCCTAAAACGTGTTACTAGTAAAGTATCAGATATCATAGCGGGGCAAAATTAAATTGCCTCTTCCTGTTGAATACAATAAAACGGAACATAACAGAAAACCAATTCTAAAAACTGTTTTTACAATATGTAATTGTTATTTTGTGTAAACAATACATAGAGGACATAAAGTATATTATAGTATTATTGTTTCGGGCCTTTGGCGCTGCATGTTGTTTTTTTTTCCAAAGTAAGTAGTAAGTAAAGTAGTTTTCAAGGAACCCAGAGGAACCGTTCCGACGTGAAAACCACTTTGAAGTAGTATATATTATACACGTCATTATGTCCTATGTAACGTATGCAATAATAATTGGATACGGCGTTCGTTAAGTCGGTAAACTTTAAACGCCTTCAATAAATACATACACACAAAACTCGTCGACTCCATTATTGTGTTGTTACTTATTATTATTATTATACACTTATACGTTTAATAGCGTTCCGAAATTTTTACGATCGTTCTTGTGTTATGAAAACAAGGAGAACTTTATACACAACGGTTTGCTTTACGGTACACCAACCGCGGTTTAACGCATTCGGAAATCCTTTACTCTCTTATACGTTTTCATTGTGTTTGAACTTAAGGTATATGTATATATATATAAATTATTATACAGGGTGATTCATTAAACATACCATTGGTTGATAATAAGGATGAAAAACTCATTTTTTCTTAAAACAATTGTAATTTTTGTAGTTTTTATTTTCGAAAACGTTTTTTGTTTCTGTTGTTTTACAATATTATTAAATAATTAAACGTCTACTAAAGTTTAAAACTTAAGAACTCGTGTCCAAAAAGAAAAACTACGAAATAGCAAATAATTTAATAAAAAACGAGTGTCTTATCCTCTATGAATCACCCTGTATATAGTATAGTGTGTATATACGGCGCTCGCGTGTCGATGCGGCAATCTTATACATGCATCCCATTGCATTGGGGTCGATTGTAATTATTATAATTACTTACAAGTTCTTCGAAAGTATAAAAACACCAAAATCGACCATAACAAATTCCTCGTTAACCAACCGAATTAAAAAAAAATTATTACCATAAACTCCTGCAAATTCATATTGTGAATTTTACCTTTTCAATAAATATAGAAACTGTACGCAACCGACATAATAAATTGATCTTAAGAATTTTTTTCCGAGTATAATTTAATTTATTCACTCTTCACTTGGGTGTTAATCTTTGTGTACACAATCACATGAACCAAATACAATGTTAATTATACATTTGATTAAATCATATTTGAATGTTTTAACCGTATAAGCTAACATGTTTGATAATTATAAATATTTATAACGCCAATACTTTGATTTGCATATCTTTGATAATAAATAATACCTAAAAAAACAATGAAAAACTCAATGGAAAAATAGAATTTTAAAAAATTATAGGGAATCGTTAAATAATCTTAATGTTTGGACATTCAACGGCATAATTCATAACACACTGAAGATAAAAATGTACCTTTTGAGTGAGTTGGCATGTAAACCGTCATCGCCATAAACGATAAGGTTGCAGTGCAAATATGACAAGGATTATGCTGAGTAACCAATTTATTATATTTTGTGTTGTGTCAACTCTTATCGTGCATAGCATAAGCATATAATATTATTTATATCCATTAAAAAAAAAAACTTCATCGTTTAACGAAAAAAGCCATATATTATTATAAATTCAAAGATTGATGATTATTTAACGGAGATAATTGAAAGCCCATTCAATGTGATCCGTGGTGTTTATACTTTTATAAATAATTAAGTAGTTTATAATTACAGTTATACAAAAAAGCGTAGAAAAATCATTCTTATTTCTTTTACTTGCAAGTTATACTTGAATTGAATTGTTCAATCTTAGTTTGTAATAAGTTAATTATATAAGTATTCAGTATATCTATTGTATTTATAAACTGTAAACTAAATAACATACATCGATACAATACATTATAAGTTACATAATTAAATTAATGTGCATTATCCGATTTTGTAATATTATTTATAATCACTGGCCAAATACTTTTAAAACACCTGGATAAATATAATAATATTAAATGGACATTTTTTACAATCGTTGCTAATTTAAAACTTATCAAATTTACAATATAACCTATGAAAAAAATCATAACCAATCGATTATCGAATGAATTGATGAATTGATCATTATTTTAGAAAATACAAGTAACCGTTGGTGACAATGAGAAAAACTATTTTACCTGATATTCCATCGTACGTCCACCATTCGTCCCAACTAGCGTGTACACCTGAAATCAAATGTATTTCTCTTATTAGTATATAATGAAAACATAATTAAAACTTAATTTTTATCAAGAAATATTTTACAAAAGAACAGAGAATGGTACTAATTATAACTCTGTCGAACGTATACCGATATTCTTAAGGAGATCGCATGCAGTCTGTTTTTGAAATAAAAAAGCCAGGCAAAATTTCGACTACTTAGGATGGTCCGATTTTAATTCTGTTTAGACATACAAGTTTTTTGGCAACTTTACAGATTTTTTATTTTTTATGTAAAAAAATTGGGTTTAAATTTATTTACTCGTAATTGCAAGAAACTGACATTTTTTTATTGAAAATCAGCTTCCTACATAACATTGTAAAATAGCCAACAAATTTGAATCTATTTACAGAATTGAAATTGAACCGTCCTATAAAGTCTAAATTTTGGTCTAGAATAAACGAAAATGGTTTTTACTCGTAGAAAATATTACATATTATACAAAACTCATTAAAAACAGACCGCATGCAAATCCCCTTAATAATATTATTTAGTATGTTTGGTATGTTACCTATTACCCGTCACTGACCTCAAACATGTGGTCTAATCCGATGTGTCGGCTTTTAATACCTGTCCGGGTTAGCTTTTATCGTCGTGTAAAGCGCACTATCGCTTATTGTGCCGGTTAAAACGACCGGGGTGATAATAATATGACAATTTCGGTTCATATTTTTTTTTTTTTGTTGCTCCTTTCTTTTCAAATCCTTTTAAGTACCCCATGAGAAAATACACCACTCGCTTCCGATTGACTTCCATTACGAGTAAGCCGGCATAATAGAGGGTGGGAGGGCAAGCGTGGTACGCGGATAACATTCGCACGGCGCCATCGAGTCGGTTGGTGTTGCCAACACCGATTAATCTCCCCCAACCAACCCCGATGTCCGCGCACTGTAACATCCCCCGTTTTTATTATTGTTGCTGTTCTTCGCATACGCACACACACACAAACACGTCAGATATAAACGAGTACTGTATATATATATATATATATATATACTTTTTATTTTTTTCTCCCCCACTTTCCCCCTTACCCCCCGGCTGATGTACACACACCGCTCTGCATTCAGCATCGCACTGTAGCTGACCCTGCCGCGGGCGCCCGAAAGACTAGACACAAAGTCCTGTAGCATGGCGTCACCGAGAAACTGTATCTCTCTCTCCCTCGCCCTCTCTCTTTCAGCGGCTAAGAACATTTTACGATTCTGTCCCCCATCCCCTGCCCTTCCCCCCCTCCGCTTTCGAGACTGATACTTATACGTGGTCACAAATCGATGCTCGAATACACGACTGCTTAAGACGTTGTGGCTGTAGCGTTGTACATAGAAAATGACACGGTGTCGTCCACTTGGACCCTTAGGTCAAAATGTTTAAAAAAAAAACCACTACCGTCAGTTTATCGGATAAAGATATCACGGGGGTGAAAAGAAATACCAACCGACTAGAAACGAGATACTTTCGGCTAACAAAATATTCCATTAAACAACTTTGCCGCCACGCTATACTAGAATCAACTGTGAAATAAATAATGGAAAACCGTGCGTGGACTCTGCCGAACTTAGGTGAATTTAATACCAAAGGTATTATGAAAGGCGAAACGCCAACTTCGGTCAAAAGTATAAAAACGGATCTTAAAAAGCTTACTAAATATATATATATATATATATATATATATATATATAAAAAACAGTTTGGAAATGATAATATTATATCATCTGGAATTCTTTTGAGACATTTTATAAAAGTTTAAGTTATCAAAATCAAGCTTTATTCGTGTATTTGGTTTATATTAATGTGATAGTATGGCAAAAGTTAATATGACGCGTTTCTCAAACTTGGGAACTACAAGTTATAGTTGATACAAAATTCTAAAATTCTAAAATAATCTGACCTAATGCTAATTAGAGTTTTTCTAAATTTTTTTAAAATGTAATCATAACCAATTTTTAATTGTACTTAACATTAAAGTTATATCTCAACAAACCGATTGTGTGGTACCACAGCCGAAGAGTGATTTAATTATACAATTCGCTCTATGTCGATTAATTAACTATATCGTCACGTCTAAACATCAACCTGGCCTAGCGAGGAAATGTCAATCCTTCGTTACACTTGGTGAACATTGTGCTTTGGCTAAGTGTATGCGCCATCTGTGACACCGTGTTGTCAGGCCTGCTGTGTCAAGCTATAACAGAAACACAAAGACGGTTGGCACGCGTCTTTTTTAATAACGGGCTTGTTACAATTGCTTTGGAACAGTGTAAACGTCCGCCAAGCTACCTTTTCAGTTTTAACTAATAAAAAAATAAAAATAAATTAAACAATATTCGTTTTTTCACTTGATTTCAGACTGCGACTTAAGCAATAAAACCATTGGCATTTTAATTAAAGCATATTTATATTTTATGCAATACCAACATAACTATATTGAGTAATAATTGTTGCAGGTGACACCTACAACGGGATTTAATACAATGGCGGAACAAATTAAACGTGCGTACATTGTAACCAGAACTCGTGCATTTTGTAACATGATTATAACCCTTCTTATGAGAAGGATAACTAAGCGTAAATGGGACGATAACACAGTTCCGAGGAATGATAATTATTAAAAAGGGCGATTACCCGTAGTTTAAATAGCTATTGCGACGGTAGATAAAAACCGAGAGATTTCACAGGAATACCGAAAGCTTTTTACCAAATCCATTATCAGATAGTCTGCGGCGACAGAGTTACATTACACGGACGACCATAAAACGCTAGTAAAATAAAACTATAAATAAGAAAAAAATGAGCAAACCCTGTTACGGTGAAGATTTTTTTTTCTATAACTACAAGTTTATGTTACAGACTATTTGCCTTGTACGAAAAACCCATTTGCATAGAAGGAAAATCTATTTTATATTATTCGCCGTAATAATTGTATTGATCCGAATGGACTAATACAGTGCTAATGAGCTAAATCAAAAAACCAGCACAGTTGTTTGAGTGATTTGATCATTTCAGGAATACCTACATCTGCTAGTAATAAACAGAATTATCGATTTAATATTACAATGTACATACCTATTATTATTTTTAGAGATTTGATATTTCTTTTTTTTATCAATGAAAAATATTCAACTACCGACCATTTCGTAATTTTATTTTTACTACTCCCCGCTTGGGAATCAATATGATGACATTATCGCTGCATAATACATTTGGAACCTCGTAGGTCGAGGAAACCTCTCTTTTTATTGTATCCAGAACTTGTGTGTATGAAACATGTATGTTTTTAAAAATGTTTGCCGAATGCGCCCTGGGGAGTCATCCACAGAAAAGTTTATCGAATACATACGATTTTTTATAGATAACAAAACATTTTTTCTCCATCGTGGTCCATTTAGGGAGACAGCACGCAGTTATATTATGACACATCACACACACACATCGGTCCGGCGAAATATAAAATAAATAACAACGGTATCCCTTTGTAAAACATTTATTTGTATCACTATGCTGGGTTATTACTTAATACTAGAAGCGCCTTAAGGTCCGAATAGATACTGTTGGAAATATTATCATATCCCGGCGGAATATAATCATCATAGTAATATACAACAAAGATTAACACTCACAGGTTCGGCATGACACAACCGTGTTGCTGTTTTACGACGAATAAGACGAAATCGTGTACGTTTTCGTTTTATCTGTTGTATGCAAGCGCATACCGTATAAGCTCTTAAAAGGCCCATGGATACTCTCCGTACGAATGTGAAAACGACTTTCAATTTTCGTTGAAATTATTCTAATCAGATGCCAAAACTTTGATCGTAATACCCTGCTCGGATTTTCAGACGTCACAGTGCCTAGTATAAAAAATGCACCATCGGAGGTGGATTTCAGAACAATATTAATAATAAAAAAAACCTACAGACGAACACTGTCCCATTACCGTCGCGCGTTAGATTCGAGTTATGTATAAGTAGTATACTGTTATACAATATCTTTTGGGCACATTATTCGATTATAATTTACAGTTCAACAATAAGAGTGCGTATATACATATTATTGTACTTTCAGGTAAAACTCACCAGACCCAAACCACACACACACACACATTCGGATGTTCCAGAACGACGAACCGAGTAGTCTGAAATGTAAGACGGCGTCGTGTGTAGGCAATTTAGCATCCCCGGTGTCGCGCTCACGGTTCACGTGTTATCCGGGCCCATTGAAAGCATTAATCACGCCTCCTTAACACCGCAGTACAATAGTAACAGCAGTTGGTTGATAATGTGTCTGTAAAGGTCGTTGTCGTTATGCGAGTACAGATTTTTCACATATCATATTATTATTATACAACGCGTAAAGCGAACGAGACGAAGATGAGCATAATAGGTAGGTATATATTTTATATTTTTTTTCTACAAGGTTTTTGTGCTTTTCTACACACCAAAGCGTTAGTTGACGTTTAAAAAAAAAAAACATACACACATAACATCAAGGATATTCGATCTAGGCGCAAACCGGCTAACACAACAAGGCGATCAGCGCATTAGTTTTTTGCACTTTTTTTAATTCCAACTCGACGTGAATAATATTATAAAACCGTCGACTTACTATGCAAATTGTGTGTCTGCAAAATTAAAACCAAACGGGGTCGTTCCGTCTGATTTAGTGGCGCGCGAGGCAATTTTAAACGGGCTACCCTGGCGGTAATTTTGTTACCGAGCTGCGGTGTACTTGTGTCGAGTATGGCAAAAGTGAATAGGAAATTTAGAAAAAAATTGTTCTAAAATTAAAAAAATTATATCATACAGACACGAGACCATATGTCGCGCGACCAACACCGTCGATTAAATAATAGCATCGTAACGCTAAAATCCATTTATCGTACACTTAAATAAATATATATAGAGGTAGTTAATATATATTGACAAATGCACCGGGTATTGAATGCTGGAACAGTTGGCATCGTTCGGC